GGCTTACCAGTGAGTCACACTGAGCAGGTTTCAGCGGAGCTTCCAGACTAGGAAGACAGACCCAAGGAGCCTGAACATCCCAGAATCAGCCCGTGAAAACCCTCCAGGGTACAAAGCAGATCACCGAGGTGGAGTCGAATGGGGCAGTGTGGACAGGGTCACCAGGAGTCAGGACTCGGGGTCAGCTAACCACATCTGTGGCCACGGTGATGATGCGCAATAAAAAGTAACGGGCAGACGTGGTCGTAGGGCGGCGGCAGTTCACAGAGGAGGGGACGTGGGGAAGGCCTCTTGCAGAATCACTGGAACCATTCCTCTGCATTCCTTCAGTCAAGACAAACCAGAATGGTAGAATAGACTCCACCTTTCAATGGAAGATGTTCCAAAGTCACATGACAGAGGCTGCAGACACAGAGGCGGAAAGAACCAGGGCCATTGTTAGGTTCCCTCTGTCATTGACCTGGGCGTCTCATTTGGCATCTCTGGGTAGCAGTCACCTTGTCTGTGAGCTCGCTGGCTGTAGGATCACTTCGGCCCTGCCATCGAGTCGAGTCGGACTCACAGCGACCTATCTAAGTTTCACCTTCCTTCCTCAGCGGGGCCAGTGGGTTAGAACCATTGGCCTTGTAGTTCGAAGCCCAGCGTTTGCCCAGCAACAGGGGGTGGAGAGATAAAAAACAGAATCTTCCACATGTGCAGCTAGGTGCCGGTATTCCAAGCTGATGATGAGAGATTGTCTTGTCTAAAATCAGGAAGCTCAGGACAGCTCTGGGATTCAGAGCTGGCATCGATTGAGTCAGCTGCATTCCAGCTCCCAGGACCCACGGCCCTGCAGAGGGCCAGATTCACAGCGCCACCGGCGCCGCCAGGGTCACCGGGACCATGGCGTTGTTTCTCTCAGAGAACCAACCCGTCTTCCCCCTCGGGTTGTTGTTTTGTAATGTGGTATCTCTTTTCCAGAACGTATCACTACTACTTGGTTAGGTTTCAGAGATGTCTTCCTAATGGCTAGGAAGTCTTCATCTTGGCCATCCTTTCATTTCTGTGCATATTTTAATAATATCCTTGAGTGATGGTAGTTGAAAGTCAGCACCGGCCTTTCTAAATGACAGTCATCCTTCCTGTAAATGCCAAGCAGCTGTCACTGAGCGGATTCTCCCAAATGCCCTGGCCGGTAACTCGGTGCTGTCACACGGAGGGCCACATGGCTCACCCTGAGATGGCCAGGAGACCTGTCTCTCTTTCTCTGGGTGTTTCCCGAGCCTTCTCCATCTGCAGACCCCGGGTGCTCCTGTCAGTAGCTCTGGGCAGCAGGGTGGCTGGTACAAGGGACCCCTGGCAGAGTAATGGTTAGGTGTGGGGCCCACTCAAAACCCCCAGCTGGGCTGAGGGAGAAAGATGGGGCTTTCTACTCCTGTAAAGACAGTCTGGGAAGCCCCCCGGGCAGCCCTCCCCTGCCCTGTCGGTCTCTACGCGTCGGAAGCAAGTCCGTGGCAGTGAGTTTCGTTCTTTGGTTTGTGAGATACTGATCTCTGACCTTTCGGTTCAGTCGAATGAACACGCTAGGCGGGCACACACTGGTGTGCTAAGTACCACTGGAAATAGCTGGTCACCTTCAATTGGATTCCCCGAAAGCCTGTCTGGCATTAAGCCGAGGAGAGTGTTTTGTGTTCATTTCTAACTGTGCTCGAGAGATGGGGCAAACTGGAGTGCCCGCAGCCCGTGAGTCTCATCGCCCGGTTATGTGTAGAAGTGCGGTCAGACGCTCTGCAGGACGAGGAACGGGGGCCCAGAGGTGACCCTCCAAAGGAAGGGTCCCATGTTCTACGACCCTGTGTCAGGGAGACCTTCAGCGGAGCCCCAGTCACCCCAATAGTCAGGCCAAGGCTTGGGAGCTGGTTGGACTTCACCCAGAGCCGTCTCATCTTAAAACCCGCGTCAAGGCTAACAGCAAGCAAATCCTTCTTGAACCCTGAGCCTGTCTTAAGATGCCTTTACAAAAACCCCTTCTGAGCTATTAGCTGGTTTGTCATAGAATTTCCTTTTCCTGAGGGTAACGTTCGTGGCGATTACCACTACAAGGAATTATAAGCCTCCCGTCAGAAGCTGTGTTCAGTTTCCTGCAGTGATAATGTGGTACTAAGGTGATTTTCCGGGTTTCTACCTCAGCTGATTTTTCCTTTCACCCGACTACTAAATCCTTCCCTTTCTTTCATTCTGCCTTTCCTGGGTTAGTGTCTGGATTGAAATTCTTTGTAGAAGTTAGTTTGGGGGGAGAAGTAAAGAATGTATGGCCAGATTTGTTCTTTAGAGTGAAACTATGTAGGTTGGGTGTTTTTAAACTTTACTCTCTGAGTAGCAGTTATCTTGTCTGTAGTCTCACTGTAGTAGCACTTAGGCCCACTTCAGCCATCGAGTGATTTTGGAGTTGTTTCATAGTTTGATCATCTGATACACATTGGGTAAGCACAGCTTATAGACCGGCTTAGGTTCCAAAGATCAGGTCATTGTGTAAAAATTGTCATTATAAGAAAATGGAAGATGACCACATCACATTACAGAACGGAGAATGGCAGTGTCATTGCAGAACAGCCTAATTATATCATCACGTGACTGCTACATTTAATCATATGCTGCGAGATGTCATTATAAAACTGCCAATCACTGAGAATCAGTGAAGCTGACACCGGCAGCCATCAGAGCCTGCATCACCCTAACCTCCCGCCTCGGCTTTTGTTATTGCCTGTGTCACGAATGCATGGAACAGTCGGCCGTAGAGATGTCAATGTTGCACTGTGGCTGCGATGTGCAAGGTCAGATAGTCGATAAGTGAACAGCAGCTGGATTGGAAAATAATGGACACTTCTAGGTAATATAACACTCAAGTTAGGTTAGCCTCTAAAATTGCCTGTTTTCCATTTTCGTTCTCATCGCATTCCAATCCTGACATGCTAATGTCGGCGGCTTTGTTTTGTGTTTCCCACCCCCACCCCCAAGACCATGGACAGACAGTAAAATGTTTTGACTCAATTATATGGGATCAGAGAGTAACAAGAACTAGTGTATTTCTCTGGCAGGGTGGCGTGGGGCATCCAGTGGAGGACAGTTAGAAGGAGACGCGAATTGTGGCCCGATTGCAGGATAGACTATTAAAGACAGTTTGAGCGCGCTCTGTCAGAGAGCTGCTTGTTCAGCGGGGACTGCTGTGACTGGGTGAGAGGTAGTAGAGAAAGTGGCTTTCGGGTTCCCTTTACAAAGTCGTCTCAACTCTGAACTCGAGTTCTTTCTGTTCGGCTTGCAGGACCTGGAGAAAGGAGGGCCATGAACAGGGTCATTACTGTGTAAGCCAAGTGCTCAACCTCTTTTAATCCTTCCCACAAAAACACTGGGTTGGGCCTTGTTCACCCCATTTTACAGATGAGGAAACCAGGCTTCCTAGAGGGGACGTGTTGTGCTCAGAGAAAGAGATGAGGATTCAGAAGCTGTGTTCCTTGTAGTAGGCAACCTGCACTGACCATAGCAGAACCGCTAGTTGTCCTTACAGTCCCTCAAACCAAACCAAGCCAAACCCACTGGCCGCTTAGAGTACTTTGGAACTTGCAGTAATCCCAGAATCTAACAATAGGTGGCAGCACATCCCCACTGCAATGCTGAATGAACGTTCAGAGTCAAGGAGGGACTTCTCCAAAGTGTCCCCCCCACCCACTGGAGTTGTACGGTGTAAATGTCAGTCATCAGACCAGCGCCCTTTGCCTCTCTTCCTGTGGCAGGCCTGCAGCCCACCCAGTCCCCATGGCCTCTGGCCAGACTCGGCCGTAATCGTTAGCATCTTCCTTTAAGCTCACAAGGGACAGGGGTGCTGTGAGAGTCACTGAGAAATGTGCTTGTTAAAAGACTCTACTGCCCGACTGTATTGACATGTGTTCAACTTCAAAAGACCTTTAGAACAAAGAGCCTGGTTGAATGTATCACAGCCGCACAGTGGGGCTACCCTTGGTGACCAGGTTTCCGGCAGCATCACTCCTGGAGGTGCAGGGCTCCCCCAGACATAATGAGCTCCCGATGGGCCTGAGCAAACTGGCAGTGTTTTGAAGTTGTACCTTTCCGAGTTTGGGGCTCTTTTACATGTCCCTAGGGTGAGCCTTGTGGAGCAACCTCAACGACCCTCCTAGGTTCACTAAGGAGCCCTGGTGGTGTAGTGATCACATGTCGGTCGGCAAGCTTCAAAGCCACCAGCCGATCCTCAGGAGAAAGATGGGCTTTCTACTCCCATAAAGAGTTGCAAGCTTAGGAACCCACAGGGGCAGGTCTAGCCTGTCCTACAGGGTCACTGTGAGTCGCCATCCACTCAATGGCAGTGAGTTTTATTTTTCACCTTCACTTTTGACAAAGTCCCGCTTCCTTAAGAGACTTTTTTTTTTTAATTTAATAGAGAACTGCGGCCCGGAGCTGCTGCTGGCCGCTTTGAAGTATCCCCAGGGACAGGGTTACTAGTTGGCACCCGGCATCCCTCTGCGGCCCAGGAGCCCCGTTCATCTGCATCGAGAGCAAGACAGACTCATAGACGCGGCTCATTTCCATCGTGTGCCTGCTCTGTGCTTGGTTCGGTGCTGGGTGCTATCATACATGAGCTTAGTTTATTACCCACTTGACATTAACTTAAAAACAGGATGTCGTGCTGGCAAGTCAATCCTAGCTCATAGCGCCCACGGGGGACAGAGTCGAACGGTCCCCCTAAGGCTTCTAGGCTGCCATCAGACTGCCTCATCTCTGTCCTACAGAGCGGCCGGTGGCTTCAAACTGCCCATCTTCCGGTTAGAAACTGAGGGTTTGACTGCTGCACCACCGGGACTCCCTAATAGGATTGTCGGAATCTAATAAGCATTGTCAGTTTCGGGTCGGCAGTTCTATCAGCCCCTCGGCCGAGCAAACGTAGCCTGCTTTTGAGTGGCCCCGTCAGGCAAGGGTGTGGAGTGAGCGTCCTGTGTGTTTCTGCGCAGACTACAGAGTGGGATGAACCTGCAGATCTGCTTCGTCAACGACAGCGGCAGTGACAAGGACAGCGATGCCGACGACAGTAAGACGGAAACAAGCCTGGACACCCCGCTGTCGCCCATGGTGAGTCTAGCTCGGCGCCCGGCTGGTCCCTTCGTTTCCTTCTCCGCGGTCAGCCAGGAGTACGCGCCGCAGAGATGAAGAAGCAATTGTCTCCTGAAATTGCATGCTTTGAAAATTTGACAGCGATTGAAAATCAAACGTCCAGCTTAGAAGACACCACAAGGATAGAAGAGATTTGTTAGCATGAGCTTGCAGGGTTCTATTAATCCATTAGAGAAATCAGATAGACCCTAAAAAGTTACATAAGGAAATACGCTAAATAGCATTCCTTCCCCATTGGGCGTTAAAAGGCGAGTATAAAGCAGCAGTCAGACACATCTGAACAAGGCAGGGGAACCAGGCGAAGGCTGGCACACAGAGAGGCTGTTGAGTGTCGTTCCGAACTGCTGGTGGTGTGGTTAGCAGCCCAGCACACCACCACTATGCTACCAGGGTCCCCCAGCAGCAGGTGCCTAAGTCCTGTCTCCTCTGTGGCCCGCCAGTTGCCTTGGCTCTAGGTTCAATATTTTGAGTGTCTGGTCACCTCAGGAAAGCTTAGAGGCCCCCCCCCCCAAAAAAAAAAATCTAGGAGATGTTTGCATGCAGTGTGTCAGAAACCTATCTTCCCTCTAAGGAACCCTATGACCTTTTCTACTTCGGGGAACCTTGGTGTCACAGTAGGGTGCCAGTCAGGCTGCACCCTACAGGCCACAGTGTGAAACTACCAGGCACTCCATGGGAGAAAGTGGAGGCTCTCTTCCCTTGTAGATATGTCGTCTTGGAACTCCACAGGGGCAGTTCTGTGCTGCCCTGGAGGGTGGCAGTGAGCTTGGTCTGGGTTTCCTACTTACACCAAAATCTCAATCCAGGCTTGATGCGCAGGCACCGGAACATGTTTCTGTTAGTGGATGTTCATCTGCATCAGCCCCCATTCATGGAGGTGATGGCGGGGCTCTCAGGCACGCTGATTGGAGGGCAGGCTCGGGGCGTGAACGCCACGTGGCTCATCTTCAGCCTGGAATGCTCAGGGCTGCTCTTTTTCCCTCCACAGAGCAAACAGAGTTCTTCCTATTCTGACAGAGACACTACTGAAGAGGAATCCGAGTCCCTGGACGACATGGACTTCCTCACAAGGCAAAAGAAACTGCAAGCTGAAGCCAAAATGGCCCTGGCCATGGCCAAGCCGATGGCCAAGATGCAAGTAGAAGTGGAGAAGCAGAACAGGAAAAAGTCCCCCGTCGCCGATCTGGTGAGCAGCCCAGACGGAAAAGCGCACGTGGGGCCGGGGTAGCTGCTTCCCCGGAATCCTGCAGACCTGGGCTTCTCTGAGCCAGTCCTTGGCAAGTGCTGCCACGAGAAACCATTGCGTGTGCTTCTTCTCCTGGCTGGTGTGTCCGTGCAAGAGCAGCGGCTTGCACGCAACCCGGCTTCGCTCTTCAGTCCTGCCCGCTGTGTCTCGGGGGGCAGTAGTAACTGTTGTGGGAATCCTTAAGTCCCTCTAAAGCCCTCCCAGGTTCAGGAGCTGTTGGCTTTGGCAGGCTATTGATTGCGAGAGCCCTGGGTCTGCCCTTCCAGCGAGACCACAGGGACTCGTGATTTTGAGCTCTGAATTTTAGAGTTTTTAAGTTCTAGCTCAGCAATCCACTGACCTGATCCTTGGGCAAGTGGCTAAAGTCTCAGTTTTCTCCTCAATAAAATGGGGCTCATGCTTGTAACTCGGGGGTCCACATAAAAAAAAACAACTAGCTGAAACTCTTATCCATGCCATCGATCTGATTGGTGCTCCCCAATAATTTACCTGTGGCTAGACTCATGAGCTCCCAGTTGTGACACCCGCAGAGAGCCTTGGACACTGCAGAGTATGGCACGTGGATAGAGGACCCCAGACTGGGAAAGCCACAGGCCAGGAACTCTAGTAAGCTGACTTCTCAGTGGAGTGAGTGAACCTTTTAAGAGACCCGCTGCGGTCTTTTCTTCCGTGAAGGGCTACTCCGTCCCTCACCTCCGTCTCTCCCTCTTTGTACCGATAGCTGCCCCACATGCCTCATATAAGTGAATGCCTGATGAAAAGAAGTTTAAAACCCACGGACCTGAGAGACATGACGATTGGACAGCTCCAGGTGATCGTCAACGACCTGCACTCCCAGATAGAAAGTAAGTACCAGCGGGGCCTGGCCGCAGGTGCCAGGGAGGCGCGTGGCTTGCTGCTCGGTTTCACCGGACACCTCCTGTGTGCTCTCAAGGAAAAGGAGGAGGGTCACAAGGCTCTGGGTTTGGGGTGGTTTGTTGCTGCTTTTATGGTTCAAGGCCTAAATTGGTTTCGAGTACTCGCTGTGCAGCCGACGACCCCCACTTCGAGCATAAGGTCTGACATCCTCTTCTAGAACAAAATTCCGAATTGACAAGCCAAGTGAACTCTTGACTTCACTTTTACATAAATCCGTGTCTCCCCCCCGAATCAGGGAAGGGCCTCTAGCAGAAAGGTCCAGAAGGGGTGGTCACAAGAGGTGATTGGTCCTGCAGAGAACACGCCATGGCTTGGCTGACGGAAGAGAGCCCTCTTTGTCCCCGAGGCGGTGTGGCCCAGCCCAAGTCCGAGTCACTGCAGCCCCCCGTGTGTGAGAGACGCGCTGTGCTCCCAGGACATCCCAATGACTGCTTTTCCCCCAGTAGATTGTCAGACTTTTCTTTCCAGGCACGTCTGGGTGTGCTCAAACCTGCACCCTCTCCGTTAGCCAGGCACCAAAGGATTCCGACAGCATGGTAGGGCCAGCTGAATCCACGATCCCTCCAGTCTAGGGAATCTATGATTCTAGCAAAGTCACAGCACTTGTAGACTAAAAGCAACCCAAGAGACATGTTAGTCAAATGCACTTTTTTTAATCTACTGTAAGAAAGAGAAGGAAGGATAAAAATATTTTCTGAGCTATTCAAGAGTATTTGAACACTGGCGGGATGTGTGATTAAAGATTCATGTGTTTATTTCAGGTGTTGAGCCAATTTATGTATTTAGGTCTTACATCTGACTGCGGCTCAGCTACCTTTCCCGTATCTTCAGATCATGTGTTTCCCTCACACAGCATGTGCGCACCGCCTCCTTCCTTAGGGCTGTGGGAAGCCTTTGAGCATCACAAGCAGCTTTCTGCTCCTTGTAAGGGATTGTGGTTATGCTGATTTTAAAAGGGGCCCTGTCTTTTAGAGATATGTACTAAAGCATTTCTAGATGAAATACTGGGGTGTCTGGAATTGGCTTTAAGATAATCCAAGGAGAGAGGTGAATCAGAATGGACTGTGATAAGTGTTGAAGCTGGTTGGATACAGGGGGACCGTGAAACTACCCTCTGCTTTTGTATCTGTTTGAAAGTCTTCATCCTAAAAGAGCAAACAAATGTCTCTTGGAAGAAGGGCAGCCAGAGGGCTGTGTTAGAGGCACCGCGGGCAAGACTGTGCCTCTCACACGTTGGACATGTGATCACAAGAGACCAGTCCCTGAAGAAGGACGTCGTGCTTGGTAAAATAGAGGGGCAGTGAAGAAGAGGAAGGCCCCCAACAAGATGGGCTCACGCAGTGACTATCGATGAGCCCAAACATCAGAACAAGTATGCACGTGACACCGGGCAGTGTTGTCCTTTTGTACACCGGGCTGCTATGGGTCGGAACCTCCT